AGTCGTCTCGAATCGTTGAATTGCGCCAAGAATTTTTGCACAAACTTAAAATCTATAGAGAGCAGAAAAGAAATCTGATTTACCTGGATGAATCGTGGTATGATACCCATGATGTTGTGCAGTACGGCTGGGTTGACGACAGCAACAAGTGCATTTTAAATGCACCAGGCAAACGTGGAAAACGAATCATTATTCTCCATGCTGGCAGTGAAAATGGATTTATACCTAATGCCTTGCTGTTATCTGCCAAAAATATCAAACAATCATGTGCCGACTATCATGAGGACATGACCTCCGACTTATTTGAATAGTGGATAGAGCAGCAGTTAATACCAAACATTTCCCCAAATTCAGTGATTATTATGGACAATGCGCCATACGATTCCCGACAGAAAAACAAAATTCCGAATACAGGCACAAAAAAACAAGACATTATTGATTTTATGAAGGATAAGGGAATGGAAATACCACAAAAATCAACCAAAGCCATATTATTGGATCTTATTAAAAGACAAAAATTTGAAAAAGAGTATGTTGTTGACAATCTGCTTCAGCAAAATGGCCATGAAGTATTACGTCTACCTCCCTATTACTGCATTTTTAACCCGATTGAGTTGGTCTGGGCTGCTTAAAAAAAAAGTAAGAAAACATAATCAGACCCCTCAATTAAGTGAATCGCTATTGGCCACAATAAGAGATGCAGTATCTCATATTGCTGCCACAGACCTATGGAAGCAGTGTTCTAGGCATATTATTGAAAAAGAAAATGAATATTGTGTTTTGCCTCCTGTAAATCCCGTTGTAATTCCTCTACAAGATGACTCTAGCGACAGCTCCGAAGGCGAGGATGATATATAAATACCTATAATGTAAGTCTTTATATAACCTTTTTATATACCTACCTGCTATGTAAATATTTGCCTATGTCAAACGTTGGAATTCTGTAATTTTTCCATTTCTTAACTTTCAGTCAACATAAATTAAACTCCCAATATATGTATTTTTTATCCCAAATCAAAAAAATAAGAAGATAGTAAAATCCATTTATTGTGATATAAAAACATTATTATTATCGTTCTAAATAAATGCCGCACGCCTATGATACGTCATGAAATTACAAAGTACGCGCCGACCAAAGGTTTTTATGCTATTTCAAGTGACTTCAGATACACCATACATTTACGCGAGACTAGACAGCGTGACGTCAGTAGCCAGACACGTGCTGTCGCCCCCATAGAGTACTTGTATCTTGTATTATCTTGTTTAGGGAGTGAAGAGTATACGAATACGAATTTATATAAACTGGGATCGACGGCGACGTTTGTGTACTTTATTTATTTGTGCTAGCACAATGCTCCAAGGTTATCAGAAAGCTGATTCGCGAAATTTACCCCATGTGAATGTGGAAATGGTGTACGAGTTATTGGCAAATAATGCAAATTTAAATAAACCTCAGAGCAGCGGTGTTAAAGTAGTTCGATAAGTACCTATATGAAGCTATTTTTTTTTGTTTAGCTCCAATGGGTAGTATTTTTTGTATTTCTCCGCAAATATTGATCCTGGTTTAGTTTAGTCTATTGAAAGCTAATAATATTAAGACATAATAATGCCTGCTCCTGACAATAATTTTGAAGGCTATTTATCTCTGCTTTTTTCTTAAAATATTATGGAATTTAAATTATGATACATACCTTCTTACCTTGTTACGCCTATTAAGAGCCCCGAATTCGGTTCTTTTTGCATGCATAATGAGGCTTTATTACACTATTCTGAAGTAAAGTATGATACCCAATATGTTTTCAATGAGAGAAATTCCAGGGATGTAGAGAGAATCTTATTTTTTTAGGGTCTATTGGGGAATACTCAAATTGGGGGGGGGGGCAGTCACATTATAGAATTTTATAGCTACTAAAATAACAAAGTTTATGGCTGCATTCGGGGGATGGGCAATGAAGCCAGGTTCTAAACGTTGACTAATATTGCGCTTAGAATGACTACGATCTCGGCAGTAAGCTGGGCAGCTTCACTGTCACTACTTTCAGTACTGCTTCCACTGGCTTCATACGAGTACGAATCAGATTCGGATGTTTCTGTTATTGCGGGACTTTCAAGATTTGCCCGTTCACTTTCCACTTGCAAACGTTTTTTTGGCCGCTCTGAAATCTGTTTAGCAAGCGCAGGAATTCTTATTGGCGATACAGCAACATCCATTACTTTCCGTTTTTGCGTGATTTGAACTGACTTAAAATGTACCCGTTTGGTTTGGCATGCCTTGTCACATACCTGTGACTGAACTTCTACTGTTAAAGGATAAGGCAGTTCATCATGCTCCTCCTCAATAACTTCCACGCCTTCAGACTTTTCGGTTGAGGGTCCCGCCCGGCGTGCCGCCGCTGGCTGCAAATATTTGGCGATGCCTTTCTGCCTTGCCCTTTTTTCGCTGAATACTCGTTTCGTAGAGCCTAATTGTCTACCCAGTTGAGATGCAAATTTATGACGTGCAATATTAGGATTCATCCCAGCAGTACATGGTCGACGTGGAAGAAACTGATTTTACATCCCGTCGAGCTGCGTCAAACCACTTTTTACGTTGTGCGGTAGCTTTTGGAACACTCACAAAAAATGTTTGTGGTGTTGTACTTGACGTACTTGTACATTTTGGCACAAAACACCACTTTCTGTTCGACATTTAACACCGTCAAAGTTCACAGAATTTAAGAATAATATATCGTACTAGCTTTAACTACTACAAACCGATTACTGGGGCGTTGTTGTGAGAATGGTAAATTCAGCGGGCCAGCTAGCGAGGTGTGTCTGGCTACTGACGTCACGCGGTCTAGTCTTGCGCACAGGTACGTTGTCCAGCCTCGCGCCGGTCCTTGATTTTGAAATGCTTTTAGTCGACGTAAATATCAATATTTTTGCTCAATTTTTTTGTAACGTTTTTTAATAACAAAATCTCTCGATTTGAGTAAAAAATGGCGAACCTTCCTATTTAAAAAGATGGAATGATCCTTGTCAAGAGTTTTTTCCTATCGCATACACGCAATACGAAATGAGATTGTTCTATATTATATATATACTTACACGTTATATTACTTTTTACAAAAATACCCGAGTACCCCAAAATCACATTGTTTCTCAGCTCAGACTCATGCTATTTTATAGATCAAAATTGCTACAATCTTTCCACAGGATGCGCTAAATAGTTGTTTATATCCTTCGACCTGTTAGTAGTAGTAAATGCCTCATCGACCTAATATTGACTTCTAAATTACTTTGGTTTTATTTCCCACTTTGGGAAAAAGGCAAACGCTTGGAAAATAACCGTTTTTTTTTCAATTGGTCATGCAAGTACCTAGTGATTTACAAACGTAGCCTAGGGCCTGTAATATGGGTCAGTTATGTTGTAACTGAACTATTTTGGTAGTCATGACCTTAGTCACAGTCAAGTTACATTCGAAAATGACCGTTAACCCCTTCACATCCAGGTGCAATTTAAAAAGGCACTTTCACATACCAGACGAAAAAAAAATCGAAAATGAAATATTAAGATTACATAATGACATACATCTTTAACCACAGTTAAAATATTTCATGAAAGTCAAAAACAACATGGCGACAGTGATTCATATTTTATGACTATACCAGTATATCCACCATTTGGATAATAGTGGCATACCATAATATCCATATTTGGATATCCATGTAAAAATAAATCAAAATCACATTTTTTGAACATAAGTGCTTTATTCATATTTTTTACATAAAATAAACTAGTAGAACGTAACATTGGTAAACCGCTTAAAATATAAAGTTCATTTGTGGTATTCTTGAAAATGTTCCGGACAACAAAGCTTATTTGGACACTCAATGCAAATATTTCGTGTTAGTTTCCTTTGGTTGTGTTTTCGGCAAATAACGCAGATCTTTCGCAATGCCCGTTTTTTTCCATCTTCCTTTGGTAAATTAACCATAACGTGTTCTTTTTGTGTTTTTTTGGAGTTGAAGGTTGATTATAACATGAAGAAGCATCCGTCATGCAGCGATATCCTTCACTGTATTTGCGCAAAATACCATTACAGCACAGTTTTATATAGTCATACATCGAAATGTTGAAATCATCTTTAGCGTTACAGAATAAAACCTTAGAATTTAGAAGCATCTGAAGCATTAATTGAAAGCCCACTTTTGTAAACCAAGTATAGCTTTTTCGTAAAGAATTGTAAGGTTCCAGATCTTGATCGACAGCGTCAACAGAGCCCATATTTTGATTATAAAATTCAATGTGGGCAGGTTTTTTAAAATGCACTTGTTTACCGCCTACCATATAGCGAGATTTTTCAAAAAACCCTGCACTATGCTTACTTGTCAACAAGTAAACATCCTTCTTGTCCTTATATCGTACAAGCAGTTGCATGTCTTTCCGTACGAAGCAGGATTGGTACCTTTCTAGTGGAATTCTAGTTAACTGAGCGGGAACTCCACGATTGCTTCTTATAGTTCCAGTCAAATAGGTTCCTTGGGTAAGTAAAAATTGCGAAAGCCGCACGGATGTATACCAATTGTCTAGAATAACTTCTCGGCCACTGTTCAGTATATTTTGAGCTAAATGCACGACAATTCTTTCAGAAACAGTGAGGTTTCCGGTGCCTGGAATATGGGATACATCGAAATTGCCTTTCCCTACGTACAAACAAAAGTTCCAAGTATATCCGCGCAAATGTGGAGCGCTTGGGCACATTGCAAAAAGTTTTATGCCAAATCGATTTCTTTTTGTTTTAATATATTGACGAAAGTGCAATCTCCCTTTATAAAGCATCAAATGTTCATCTATTGCAAACACTGGTCCAGGGTCAACCAACGTCTTGCAGTTGTCTTTGAGCATGGACATATAAATTCCAAGTCGGCTTAGAGGGGCATTGTTTCTTGCTGCTTCGGATGGCGAAAACCGAATAAACTTGAGTATAGAAAGATACCTGTTTCGACTCATAATAGACTTATTGTTCAAAGTACATTTCAGCTCTTCTGTTCGTCCACTCACTTAATTTCGCTACGATATTTGGGCTTAAAAAACATTCGAAACAATTGACTGGATCTCTGCACTCTTCCATATCAATGGCGGGGTGAAAAGTATATTCAGAAGAAAAATTTTGCGTAGCTCTAGGAACCTGATCGGAAAAAGGATCACTTAAAACTTGCCATTCGTCCATGGTCACGTTTTCGACAAGTTCATCGTCATCGGTCTCCGAATATGTTTCGTCAGAGTCACTCATATCCGAATTATCACTTAACTCATACTCCGAATCGTCATCACTATCTGTATAATAGTCCTGGACATTCATTTTTGATAAATAAAACTTTTACATCCAAACAACACTGAGAAACACGATAAAACAGACTTTCCCGCCAAAACGTAATTTAGAGGCATACACGACCGCGTACCAGCGTGACTACTTATGTACTAACAGTAAAAATATTTCTGTGGAAATTTGAGTGGGGATGGCTTGTATGCCATACCAGTCGGTCTAATTGATAGCAGCTCGCCATACCAGTTCCCTGCTCCATAACATAAGCCATTAACAATGTTATCCATATGTGGATATTATGGTATCCAGAGAGCATATTCAAAATATCCATATGTGGAGTACTGGATGTGAAGGGGTTAAGAGGTCACTTTACGCAATTTGGAATCTAAAAATGATAATATGAATCACCGTTTTTCAGATCTTTAGGAAGCAGTCGAGTCCTTGGCAGAAAAGCAAGATTGGAATATTTGCATAAGCTCATTAAGTGAGACTAGAATACTTAGCGCATTTATTGACGTTCAATGAGGATTGAGTGTTGTTTTAGGAACAAACAAGGAAGGATTTAACGTTTCCGCTTCATAGTAGGCTGTAAACTGTTACAGTTTTATCACAGGTGTTAAGAATATAGGAGATTTTCAAAACTTTAGTTGTTTTCAGAATTTTCAAAATTATGGAAATTTGAATGTTGTAGAAATTATAAAAAATAGAAAAATTTTGTATGTTCTGAAATTTTTTGAACTTAAAAAGCTAGTCCGGTGGTCGTCTATGATCCGTGTCCCGTAATTTGGCAAATAAATGAAATCAGAGATGGTGAGTAAATGACGTTTTGACATTCCACTATGGCAGACTTTTTCTTATTTTAAATTACGTTTTTTAGCGTTTCGATATTTATCAATATATTTTATAAGTGATGCAAATGCTATCATCTAATTATCCTATTAATGAAACCTTCATTTTTAATATATGTAGATAAAAACATTAGTTATTATTAAATATTATATCGCGATTCAAATCGTCACACATACGTATCTGCATGAAATCAAGGAGAGTTTGCCTTATACGGCTAATTAGCCAGTCTGTAACACTAGAATTAATTACAGCTTGCTAGTAAATTAATTGCGACCATTTAAGTTGACGCTTCTCTGGACAATTAGGTGCAAGAAGATCATCTGCTTTCTGGTATTTATCTGGAGATTATTATTATTCAGTACTCTTCATTCGAATCGCTAATGTGGGTATATTAAGCAATTACCTTGGGTACCTAATTGGAACACACGAGTTTTAAGGACACGTCGTGGTAATTGCAATCTAGATTTGAGGATTCAGATCTTGCAGGTAAAGTAAAATGTAAATGCTTGAAACAGATGATATATGAGTAGACATACTTATGGGATTGAGATATTTAAGGTGCAGTGTGATTTTTAATTCAGAATCAATTGGACAGAACTTTAGATTAAAAAATGTCAAAGACATAGAGCAGATATCAACGGAGAGATTGGCTCTATACTTCCTACAGCTTCACTGGATGTTTCAAAGAAAGGGAAGAGTCAGGTTGTTACAAAAGATGGAATCGAATCGTGACTATGTAGGTTCACTTAGGTACGATGAGTTGTCGATCTCTACATATCAAACCATATAATCATTCCGAGATCAGCAGCTTCTTAACAGAAAAGTCTTTCTTTGACACCAAACATGCGACAACTTCATTTGCCGCATACAGCTTGCAGCCTACAATATTCAACTCCTCCAAACAATGTCTGAAAATGAGTAAGAATATCTGAAATGTTGTCACACTATGTTGCAGCTATTTTAATTTACTTATTCGTAGTTTTGCAGCAACTGGATCAATTTTCAAAATCTACGACTACCTAAGCTATACAGAAGTTCCGCGATGATATTCAAAGTTGAGCTCGCAAGTCTTCTGTTGCTTAAAGATATCTGCATCACACAAGTTCATGTTTCTTATTTATGTCGGTGTCTGTTGTATATCAATGCGTAATAACTACTGAGTCAATCTACTTGACGAAATATTCAGGGAACCGTCATACACTCAGGCGAAATAGATGTGATACATTTAAGAATTATAAAATTCAGAAAACATCAATCAAACAAGAATCGCAGAACGCTAAATGGTAAGAACGCCCAATAACCTAATATTCCTAAAATAAATGGTGTAGACGGCATAATTGTCATTATTTAAATGGGTGATAGAGGGGGTTAAAAGAAGCAAAAAGTTTCATATAACATGGGGGTCAAAACGGCATTTTTTAGAGAAAAGCGACTTTAAAGTAAAATAAAATCTGACAACGCCGCAATGCCAGACGCAAATTACGATGGAGCGCAGTGTATATGAAGATGGAGTTTGTTATTTTTGGCTCTTAGGTATTATTTTATTATTTGATAATGTACTTCTAAAATACGAACAATTAAAAACACGGACTTACCCACTAACTGTCTCAGCGCTTCACCTGGAGTGTGAAAGTTTATTGAACGTATTAAAAAAATCCACTTATAAATAGGGAACACAAAACACTGCACTTTTTTGTATTTGAAGAAGGTGTTCAAAATGTCGTCCTCCATTTTCCACACAAGCTTCATTACGACGAACCCAGTTTCTTTTTACTCTAGATCCTCGAAGTTGTCCATTTATTATTTCAGCCGCATTAAAATTTTTTTCTCGAAGTTGTGCTTCAGTTGTTATTGGACCAACCCCATAAGCCATCCCTTTAAGTTCTCCCCAATACTAGAAATCCATCGGATTGAGGTCAGGAGATCTTGCTGGCCATTTTCGAGGATCAGGAGCATTTCGACGGATCCAGCGATTTGGATAATGTTCATTCAAATACTGAATGACGCCTCTAAAAATGTGTGGTGGTGCCCCGTCATAAAGAAACCACAAATTCTGTCTCCGTTGTAATGGCATGTTGTCTAATGCCTGTTCCAAAAGTTCTGGTAGGTTATTGGCTAGAAAGCTAAGGTATCCTTCTCCTGACAACTTTGGGGTAACTCGAAAGGGGCAATTACGTGATCGTCAAGAATATCCGCCCAAATATTTATTTTAAAACGTTGTTGGAAATGACCTTCACGAATGGTATCAGGATTTTCTTGGGCCCACGTGTGAGTATTATGGAAATTAAATATCCCGTTTTTAAAAAAATGCGGATTTTCAATGTTTTAGTGCAAAAACCACTGACAGAATGTTAGTCTGTGAGGATAGTCTCCTGGTAACAAAGCATGCACTCGTTGAACATGGTAGGGATAAAGCAAATTTTCCCGTAGAATTCTATGGACTATGGAATGCGATAGTCCTACGCGGCGGCCTAATTCCCTAGTGCTGATATCTACATTGATTTCCACGATATTTAAAATTTTTTCCTCCTGCTCTACACTAACCTGTCTTTCACGAGTGCGAATAATAGTGGGCTGAACATTTCCTGTATCTCGAAGTCTTTGGTACACTTGCATAAATGTCCTTCTGACTGGGTGTACCTGTTGGGGTTAAATTTGAGCTGCAAGATTTGAATTCTGACGAGCTTCACCGTAAACTAACAACATGTCGGCGAACTCTTGATTCGAGAACATTGAAAAAATAAACACTACGACGTACGCGAACAAAAACAAAACAACATACTAACCACTGTTACCGTTTGCGATCGATTGCCGATTCGATAAGAGTGATGAAAAACCGACGCGCTGTTGTCATGTGTGTTTTAAATATTTAATTTAATCAAACTTACTTACTGACTACAAATTTTGGCTTAACTTAGAAAAACTTAATGCCATTTATTTGTTAACTACCCAATTAAAAAACGTTTTAGATTGGATTATAAGAATTAGTAAGATTGTGGTCGATATAAAGCACTTAAAGTTGTAAACTATAAAGCCATTTGGACAAAAATCTATTGACTTTTGGACCATGGGTCATATGAACTTTTTGACTTGTTTTGACCCCCCTATTACCCATTTCAATAATGACTACCATAACGTTTACACCCTGTATATAAGTATTCCCCTGTAGCGGTGTAGCGGTGTGTAGCACATGAGCCTGTTGCGCTTGCCACAGTCGGCAGTAGCCTCCACGACGATGCAGTGTCACAACTCCAACGCTTGCAAGTTATTTCGAATTATCAGCACATTATACATTGAACTTTTATCACTTAATTTTTCCGTTGTTACCGGAATCAGAAGCTTCTCAATGATGACAATCTTTGACTAATACCAAAGACGTGACATTTACAACACCCTATCCTTTACAACCCCACTCCCCAATTTTCAACTCCCACAATTTTTTTTAGAAAAGGACTATGAGTCTCTGAAACGTCATAAAAAAGGAAGTTTGAGAGATTTTCAAGAGCTACAGAGTTTTTTGTACTTGGCATAAAGGTAACCCCGTGTGAAAATTCGACCGGTACTTCCCAAGCCGAGGATTAGCGGATAGACAGGCAGACCGACTGAAATGAGTGACATAGTTTTTCGTGACGTACGTGTCATTTAACATCCAAGTGGCGTAGGAAGTAAAAACAAAGGAAATGTCACCCGGAAGACAGATAAATAAAATATATTGTCAGAAAGTTTCAATTTTACTTAAGGAGCGTTGCCGTTAGAACCAAAAGGTCGTAGAATATTGTAAGAGAATCACCGTTTTACCGTCCAAGTCCAAAGTTTAATCTACTAGTTCCGCACTAATTTATAGCACTTGTATAATATGAGAATATATAACCATGTTGACAGGACTACGGCTTCTGCGTCGTCTGGTGAGTCATCGCCCGCTGCCGACAGCTCGACTGCGTTTCTCTGCTTCCGCCATCTGGTCGGGTATTTATTCCTCTATCGACGAGTCGAGAAACATTCCAATGTTTTCGCGAACTTCCATGGAAGTGATCTGGATGGCAGCAGATGCTTCTTCCAGACCGGTCTCCATTATTCTTGAACCTTGGTCAAGCATGCAAGCGCTCACGCACAGTCGCGTAACTGGTTTCCCAGTTGACATCGTAAAGCCGTCCCATCGTCATTTAAGGTCCCAGTTATAAGAGCGT